TTTTGTTTTATTTTTTTTTTAATACAGTCGTGCTCTGTCATCCAGGCTGGAGTGCAATGGCGTGATCTCAGCTCACTGCAACCTCTGCCTCCTGGGTTCAAGCAATTCTCCTGCCTCAGCCTTCCAAGTATCTGGGATTATAGGCGCCAGCCACCACACCCCCCTTTTTTTGTATTAAGGCCATTCTTCGTATGTGACCAACTTTTAACAGAGAATATCTGTCACCTACCGACACATATGCTGCATCCTTTTAACACCAAGGGCTTCCTAGGAACCATGAAGTCCCTTTGCCTTCCCAGTGCTGTTAGGGATTTCCTCCCTTTCTGAAACAGATCTTTCTCTGCTATTGAAAAGATGGTAACAAAAGGGGAAGGAAAAATCCTGCCTTTCTGCTTCTGCTATCCACTCCTCTCCACCTAATCATCCTCCCTGTTTCTTACATCTAAGCAAGCAGCGAAAGAGAAGAGGAAGACAAAACCACTCCTCTTCATCAACTCTCTTTGACTCCATTATACTTTCCACAACCCAAGTCCCTAACCTTGTATGTCATCCTGCAGGCCTCAGCCAACTACTTGCCCTCTACCTGCTGAAGTTTTCACATTGTTTTCATGGGAAACGTGTCTCATCTTCTAGACACAACCCTTTCATGAGGTGGGGAAAATGCTGAACTATTTCTAATGATCATCAAGTGTTCTGTTGGAAAGGAATCCAATCCCAACCTTAAAAAGGTCATATGAGGTATCCCAAACAACTTTAGCCTCACTTATAAATTTAAAATACCTTCTGGCTGGGCACAGTGGCTCACACCTATAATCCCAGCACTTTGGGAGGCTAAGGCAGGTGGATCACCTGAGGTCAGGAGTTGGAGATCAGCCTGGCCAACATGGTGAAACCCTGTCTTGACTAAAAATACAAAAAATTGGCCAGGGGTGGTGGCTCATGCCTGTAATCCCAGCTACTTGGGAGGCTGAGGCAGAAGAATTGCTTGAATCTGGAAGGCCAAGGTTGCAGTGATCCAAGGTTGCGCCAATGCACTCCAGCCTGGACAATAAAGGCAAAACTCCATCTCAAATAAAATAAAATACCTTCTATAATTTCTGAAGTATTCTTAAAGTTATTTATACTTCTTCTTAGAATAACAAGTCTATATAATCATCCCCAGTAACATAAAAACATGTAGTTGCCCTAAAATAATAAATCAGATAGTGGTCCTTAGTTTTAATTGCTAAGATTCATAGACAAAATAAGCTTCAAAATAATGCAAGATCGTTCTTTCAGATATTCATTATTTTGAAGGCTTAATCCTTACCATTCATTTCTTTCCTGAAGTAGAAATTCCTAACCTTTATAATCAGATATAAAGTCTCATGATAATCAGATAAGTCATATAATGTTCTGATCAGGTTGCCAAAATCTGCAATGTTACAAACTCTGTTGGGGGTTTTCTGGTTTACAGTATTTTAGGTTCAGATGAGCCCAGCTTTGTTCCTGACATTCCCATGACTCAGGTAGAACAAGGAAGACACTGGTTCGGTGCCTCAGAAGTTGAGAGGGAATGGGTAGAGTACTCTAAATACCTGCGTATTCCCTCCACTGACATACAACACGGTTGGGCTGGTGGCTCCAGTGATGAGGCGGCCCATCTCAATGTGGCCTATACAGTGGTTCACACCCAGCAATGGCTTATTCCACAGCTGGGCCACAGTACGAGCCACGACGGCCACAGAAACCAGTGGGGCACCCATGCCAGGGCCTAGGAGAATAGAAATGGAAGTTATAATCCTAGAGGCTGGTAAAAAAAAAAAACAGGTGGGGAAAGTAAGGGATATGAGGTGGGGTAGGGGTACCAGTGATGGCAGAGGTAAGGTGTTGGCTATTTTGACCTAGCCAGGTTGCAGGTATATTCCTCCATCGTTGACCACTCTCCCAGCCATACCCTTGGTGTATGCAATGCAATCGATATCCTGGGAGGTTAATCCAGACTCTGTTAGTGCCTCCTGTAGTAGGTCTAGGATAACAGCTCTGTGATGCCTGGCTGTGTCACCTGGAAGGAATCCTAGAAAATGAACATAGGTCAGAGATCACAGGGATTTTCTGTAGCAAAGGTAGGTAGGAAGTTAAAGCAACAAGAGTTTTAGTGATGTAGGAAGAGACCTTTCACTTTCCTTAAGCATTCTATCTTCCAGGTTTTCAGATATATACTCTTTCTGGCTTCTCATCAACTTTCAGAAATGCTCTTCTTCCTACCCAATTCCTACTCAGCCTTCAGGACTCAATGCAAGTGGTATCTACCTCATACCCTTTGGTGATCTTCTTTCTCTGTGACCCTACAGAACTCTATGCATGATGATGTCATTTATTTAACATAACAATTATAGCATTATAATTTTCCATGGTTTGCTCATCTTTTTTTTTTAATATATATATATTCTTTCTTTTAAAGACAGGGTTTCACCATGTTGGCCAGGCTGGTCTTGAACTCCTGACCTCAGGTGATACGCCCGCTTCGGCCTCCCAAAGTGCTGAGATTACAGGCGTGAGCCACCACGCTTGGCCTGGTTTGCTCATCTTACTCATGAGTATCTCAAAGCATTGAGTATTTTATTTATCTTTATATTTCCAGTGCCCAAGTGTCTAGAGGACTGAATGCTAAATATACACATATATTTCTAATGAGTAATCTGTCACAGTGTCACCTGTTCAGGGAGGCTTTTCAGATACATGCAAGTCAGCTGCTCTCTCCTATGCATACAAGTGTTTGAGGGGTGAGTAGGCAAGATATAATAGCTTACTAAAAATATCAATTAAAAGTTGTAATGTGTTTGGTACTTTCATCTAATCTTCAAGATTTAATGATACAGGTATTATTCCCATTTTAAAAAGAAAGACCAGGCCCGGGCCGTGGCTCAGCCTGTAATCCCAACACTTTGGGAGGCTGAGTTGGGAGGATCGCCTAAGGTCAGGAGTCCCAGATCAGCTTGGCCAACATGGTGAAACCTCATCTCCACTAAAAAAATAAAAATTGGGCCGGGCGCGGTGGCTCACGCCTGTAATCCCAGCACTTTGGGAGGCCGAGGCGGGTGGATCACGAGGTCAAGAGATCGAGACCATCCTGGTCAATATGGTGAAACCCCGTCTCTACTAAAAATACAAAAAGCAGCTGGGCATGGTGGCACATGCCTGTAATCTCAGCTACTCAGGAGGCTGAGGCAGGAGAATTGCCTGAACCCAGGAGGCGGAGGCTGCGGTGAGCCGAGATTGTGCCATTGCACTCCAGCCTGGGTAAGGAGAGCGAAACTCCGTCTCAAAAAAAATAAATAAATAAATAAATAAATAAAAATAAAAAAATAAATAAAAATTAGCTGGGCGTGGTGGCACGCACCTGTAGTCCTAGCTACTTGGGAGGCTGGGGTAGAAGAGTCGCTTCAACCTGGAAGGCAGAGGTTGCAGTGAGCCAAGGGCGTGCCATTGCACTCCAGCCTGGGTGACAGAGCAAGACTCTGTCTCAAACAAAATTAAATAAAAATAAAAAGTAAGCTGGGTGAGTGGCTCACGCCTGTAATCCCAGCACTTTGGGAGATGAGGGGGGCAGATCATGAGGTCAGGGGTTCAAGACCAGCCTGACCAACATGGTGAAACCCAGTCTCTACTTAAAAATACAAAAATTAGCCGGGCGTGGTGGTGCACACCTGTACTCCCAGCTACTTGGGAGGCTGAGGCAGGAGAATTGCTTGAACCCAGGAGCCGGAGGTTGCGGTGAGCCGAGAGCGCGCCATTGCACTCCAGCCTGGGCGACACAGTGAGATTCCATCACAAAATAAAATTAATTTAAAATTAAAAATAAAGACCAAATGTCCAGAACATAAATATTGAATATGAATATTGCAAAGCCAGCCACTTCTGTCTGGCATGTAAGCTGGGAGTCTTTTCCACTCTCTTCTTTGTCCCCATCCTATTTTTTTTTAAGTATTTTTTTTTAAAGGAGTGTATATTCAGGGCAACTGGAATCTATACTCCTACTAAGCATTTTTTAAACAGAATATTTCGAATCCATCTCTATTACACTGTTTATCATGCTGTAGAATAAACATCTATTTATATATGATTCCACAACAGAATCATAACATCTACTTCTAAACGCTTAGCACATAAAATGCGCTCAATAAAAGGTAAACTAACTTATCAGATCCACCTCCAAGTGCCTGTACTTCTTCTAGTTATCAGCCTTGTGATGTTAATAAAGTCACATCATTTCCCTGAGACTCGGATCAAAAGCTGTAAGAACGGACAATGCACCCAAGGCCCCACTTAACTAGTATTTAGGAAGATGGAAGACTAATTCCGTGCGGGGAAGTGCGCGGAAAACCCTCAAGTCCCCTTCTCACCCACCTGTGCCCGGAGGCGTGACATAAGTCCGCCGCGGGTTCGCCAGCACCTTGCCATCCCGCACTACTCCCACGCCAATCTTATTGGCGCTGCCTTCAAAACCGAGCACCGCCGGCATGGCGAAGCCTGGGAGAAAACGCCGACAGGACTCCTAGCAACCTAATGAGTGGAAGTCCTCCCTAATCCGCGCTGGGCCGCAGCTTTCCAGAGCACTAAAGAAGAGGGTGACACTGGAGATAGCAACGGGAGACACCGCAGAACTCCCGCGAGCGGAAACCCGCCAAGGCCCCTCCGGGGACCTGTCTTCCTAACTGCCAAGGACGCCAAGCCGCCTCTGTGCTTTACATTCCTATCCGTTTTTCTATCCCTTTCCTGTGGTCCAGCCCAGCCTTCTCCATTGTTTTTTTCACCTCTTGCACAGCGTTAGGAGCTTAAGCCACATTCACAAAATGTGCCGAGAATCTGGCACAACGATAAACACCCCGAAGGAGGGTTGGGGCCTTAAGTCTCCTGGGGAGAAGGGAGGCTAGGCCAAGCTTCCCCGTCACGTGGTGTCAGACAGACCAATCGCGCGAATTCTTCGGCCACGTGACGCGTGTCTCGGCTCACGTGACCTGGTCCGCTACCCACGTGGGGGCTCAGCGTGCACCGTTCTTTGTACTCGGGTTAGGAGGAGCTGTGCTGCGTCCGGACCAGTGCAGATACTGGGTTGCTCTTTTGCTCGTAAGAGGGGCTCCGCTGGCAGTCTGAACGGCAAGCTTGAGTCAGGATCCTTAAGATCCTCAGTTAGTTGGAGGGCAGATCTCGCGAGTAGGGTACAAGGCACTGTGAAATGATCTTTTTACGTGGGTGAGGGGCTGAACGGCCTATGATGTACCGAGGCTGGGAAAGGATTTAGAAATAACATGGTTTGGCCGGGCGCGGTGGCTCAAGCCTGTAATCCCAGCACTTTGGGAGGCCGAGGCGGGTGGATCACGAGGTCAAGAGATCGAGACCATCCTGGTCAACATGGTGAAACCCCGTCTCCACTAAAAATACAAAAAATTAGCTGGGCATGGTGGCACGTGCCTGTAATCCCAGCTACTCAGGAGGCTGAGGCAGGAGAATTGCCTGAACCCAGGAGGCGGAGGTTGCGGTGAGCCGAGATCGCGCCATTGCACTCCAGCCAGGGAAAAAAAAGCAACTCCGTCTCAAAAAAAAAAAAAAAAAAGAAATAACATGGTTTGAAAAGCCGGACCTGGTGCGGGGACGCTCTAGGGAGGAGTCTTCTCCCCAGTTTTAGCTGGTTTCATTTCTTTGCGTCTGTAGGCAACGCGGTAAAAATACTCCTTCGGTGGGCGACGCAGTACAGGTGCTTCCGAAGGGCGTTCGTTACGGGAATGCCGAAGCGTGGGAAAAAGGGAGCGGTGGCAGAAGACGGGGAAGAGCTCAAGACGGGTAAGAGAATGAAATGAGCCCCTCTTCCTAGAAGCTGCGGCGGGAATTCCCTTGATAACGGTAACTATGGGCCGCTCATTTTTGTAGGGGTTTGTGAAGAAGTCGCGGTAACACCACACTTTCGTTGGGTCTGTAGTTAACGCCAGATCGAGGTTGGAAGCCACCAACTTTTTGTCACTATATATTACTCATTTTATAGAGCCAGAGGCCAAGAAGAGTAAGACGGCCGCAAAGAAAAACGACAAAGAGGCAGCAGGAGAGGGCCCAGCCCTGTATGAGGACCCCCCAGATCAGAAAACCTCACCCAGTGGCAAACCTGCCACACTCAAGATCTGTTCTTGGAATGTGGATGGGCTTCGAGCCTGGATTAAGAAGAAAGGGTTAGATGTGAGTGGAATTTAAGGAGGGGAAGATATATTTTTTTCTTTTTTTAATATCATTTTCTACTTTGGTAGAGATATTCTTTAGTATTGAATAATCTTAGGGTTTAGTCACCCCTTTTTTCCGTTTAGCCTTCGGGCTGTTTTTCTCCTGCCCGGGAGAGATATATGTGGGGCTTCCCCACGTTTTGCCAGTTGTTTCCTAAATGTCCGTTTCTTCACTTCTATTGCCATTTTCGTTTAATGTTCTCTCCTCTTCCCAGACTGTTGCAAAAACCTCTTTACTATGTCTTCCTCCATTTTATCTTCAGCATGTCCTCCATTCCATTAACTACAGCTTAAAAATCTTAGCTTGCTATCCACTGCCTAGGGAAAAAACACAATCTCCTTAGTATAGCGTGTTATACTTTATCTCTCTCTATTAGTTTTTATTTATATAGCTTATAATTGTTTAAATATTGTACTACTTGAACTCCTTAGGCTAAGGAGTTTAAACTGTGCATATCTATGACTTAGCACATATTCAATAAATGTTCTGCTGAATTGATGTTTTCCACCTTTTCACTTACAGTGGGTAAAGGAAGAAGCCCCAGATATACTGTGCCTTCAAGAGACCAAATGTTCAGAGAACAAACTACCAGCTGAACTTCAAGAGCTGCCTGGACTCCCTCATCAATACTGGTCAGCTCCCTCTGATAAGGAAGGGTACAGTGGCGTGGGCCTACTTTCCCGCCAGTGCCCACTCAAAGTTTCTTATGGCATAGGTGAGACCCTGTTAATCCCTAATGCCTGAGCTCTTCAAAACCAATTGCTAATTCTCCATCTGTGCCCCACCTCTTGATTGCTTTCTCTTTTCTTAGGGATTTTTATGCTAATTTTGTTTCATCATTTCTGTAGGTGAGGAGGAGCATGATCAGGAAGGCCGAGTGATTGTGGCTGAATTTGACTCATTTGTGCTGGTAACAGCATATGTACCTAATGCAGGCCGGGGCCTGGTAAGACTGGAGTATCGGCAGCGCTGGGATGAAGCCTTTCGCAAGTTCCTGAAGGGCTTGGCTTCCCGAAAGCCCCTTGTGCTATGTGGAGACCTCAATGTAGCGCATGAAGAAATTGACCTCCGCAACCCCAAGGGAAACAAAAAGAATGCTGGCTTCACGCCACAAGAGCGCCAAGGCTTTGGGGAATTACTGCAGGCTGTGCCACTGGCTGACAGCTTTAGGCACCTCTACCCCAACACAGCCTATGCCTACACCTTTTGGACTTACATGATGAATGCTCGATCCAAGAATGTTGGTTGGCGCCTTGATTATTTTTTGTTGTCCCACTCTCTGTTACCTGCATTGTGTGACAGTAAGATCCGTTCCAAGGCTCTCGGCAGTGATCACTGTCCTATCACCCTATATCTAGCACTGTGACACCACCCCTAAATCACTTGGAGCCTGGGAAATAAGCCCCCTAAACTACCATTCCTTCTTTAAACACTCTGAAATCTGCTTTGTATTTCTCATCTATAAAAATAGGAATCCTCCAACCAGGCTCCTGTAGCAGACTTAGATTTCTTTTAAGCTCAAGATTTTTTTGAGGGTTTCTTTAAAAAAAAAAAAAAAAATGAGCAAAGCCTGCTAGTGACTTTTTGAATTATCCACATAAAAATAAAAAGCCATAGTTTCATCCTTGCTGTCTTTGTGTCTTACCCCTTCGTGGGGCTACACATTCCCTTTCTCCTTATATTTTCATGCATACAAGTTAACAACTGAAAAAGGGTAGAGTCATGACCTTATTTATTTACAAGCACATGATAAGTCCCTAACCTCCCCAAACATAGAGCAACCCTACCCAGCCCAGTTAAATACTGCAACTGGGGGGGAGGTAAAAAAGGTTGGAAGGAGGAATTAGGGGAAATACAGGAATAGGGGAACATATCCCACATTAAATAGTTATATATACATCAGTTCCTGTGGTTCTGTACAGAGCAGCGGCTGACCCCACCCCACAGGACACAATGTGGGGAGAGGAGACTGAGGGTACTGAGGCCAGAGCCAACCCCTGGTGAAGTGCAATAGCAGCAGCAAAGTCCCAATGGTGCACAAGAAGGAGGGGAACCCCCAGGGCTACCCACCCCCACCCTGCCCTGGAATGTGTAAGGGACAGGAATGGCTCTCAGGGAGCACACAGGAAGGACAAGGCTGGAACCGTCTTTAGGACCCAGTTTTAAGGGCAACATTTGCCTACTTCACCCTAGACACAGCAACCCTTGGAGGAAAGCAGATGATCAGCAGTGGTCTTACTTGCCCCTCCAAACCTAAGTGAGGGCCTGGTTCCTTCCTACCTCTCCCCAGGGAAAAGGAAGGCAGCTGCTTGGCTTCCTTATAGAAGCCCAGGGAGCCTTTTACTACCCCAGCTCCCTTTGTAGTGTCACTGTCCCCACCAGGGAGGGGCCAGGCACAGTCTTGTGGGTCATCAGGCTCAGGAGAAGTTCTGGACAGGGTGGCTGACCTTCATACAGGCCCAATAAAGGGCCCGGCCCAAACACAGCACAGCCAACAGGATGACAAATGCCCAGCCAGCATAGATGCCTCCATATCGCCGTGCATGCTTCCATGTACCAAACTGATGAAGATACAGAGGGAGAAGAAAAGAAAGATGGGGTTAATGTTGGTCTCCACTATCTCCTATTAGTCCAAAGAACGTAATAACTCAGGCTTCAGTCCTTGTTTCCTATCCACATGTAGCCACCCTCAGGGACCTTCTTAAAGGCAGCTGTTCAGCTCCCTTCCCTTAAGCAATAACATACTCATCCCATCCCATACTTATCTGTCAGTTTTTCTTAATATCTGACAAGAGAGCCAGGTTTGCAAATAGCAACTCTTATATTAAGCACTTCTCCACTGTCCTATCTTCATCCTACAGAGAAAGGATGGCTGTTTTTCACTCTTTTAGTAATAATAAAGACTGTTTTATCTGCTACCTTCCATTTTAGCTCATATGTATATTAAAACTACTCTCCCAAGTTTCTTCCATTTTCTTTAGGGTAGCAATTTCCCAAATCTTAGCCTGTGGGAATGAGGCTGAAGAATTAAAGAGGTGGGGCAAGGGTACTCACAGCAAGGCCAGTGGCAGTGACTACCAAAAGCAAGCCAAGCAAGAAGCAGCAGATACATCTCTTACGTGGGTATCTGCGACCAATAGATGACCTGCGGGGAGGCAAATAGAAATGGATGCTTTTCTATGGCCCTGAAGTTTTTACTCCATACATCACTCAATCACCAGCTCAATCCCTAATCACTTACACTTTCCTGCAGTGAGGACAACGTGCCAAGGTGCGGTCTGTGAACTCTGTCCACTATAAAGAAAGGAAACAAAAATAATAGCAGAAGCAAGGTCCCCCTCAATGAGAACCGTGGGGTTGGGATGCAGAACATGTTCCCATAGGACAGACCTTTCCAGGTCATTATCATTACTTGGAGAAATACACTAGAAAAGACTATCCTAGTCTCCTTTTCCCTCCCCTTTCCAATACCCCTTCCTCACCAGAAAAGTATTCTTGCAATGTCCACAGATAACCCTGACACCCATGGGTTGTGGTTCTGGACTCAGAGGTCCGGGATGCACAGGCCCCAGGTTGATGATTCTTTTGCTGTACAAAAGAAAAAGACTGTGTTTGAAAAGTTTTTAATCCTAAAAATCCCCATACAGTCCCTGTTGCACATCCCCTACTCCTTGCCTATCAAGTCATTTCTCTGAACACTTAGATACTCGGTCCCCCAACTGTATACCCTCAAGAATCCTTGAGAAAGAAAGAGCACTGCTTAAACTTCAGGTCTCTAATACCCCTCTTGACCTTAGGATAACACACCCAGTCCCTAAGGCTTTCTATTTTCCTAAAGGACATCATTTCATCTCAACATCTTTACTAAGTAAAGGACATCATTTCATCCCAATATCTTTATTGAAAAATGAGAAAGACAGCTGTAACATTCCTGAGGCACATGCTCCATAGCCTTTTCTCCTCCTAATAAACCCTAGGCTCTCTCACATTTACTTTCTCTATATACGTTTATTCTTTTTTGACTTTCTAGTTCCCCACATGCCCTTCTCCACCTTATGCCTCTTACCAGTAGGGCCGGGGGCATGCAATCCGTTGGGATGTCACTTTGCAGATAAGGAGACAGTTACAGGGGCATCGAACATATTTTTTCCCTGGGGGTGCATTCTTGATTGGCTAGAGAATAACAGGGTGGTCAGCAAGCAAACCTCTAATCCCAATCCCTTCCACTTCCCTCCAAAAAGACTTTATAAGATCAGAAAGATAAGGTGCTAGCCAGGAAGTAGAAATAAAAGACTATATCATGACATTTGCTATGTGTGAAGATGAATAACAGTAAGCATTAGCTTTGGTGAGCGGCTTCTGGGGAAACAGCTGTGTGGGACACCTGGAACTGAAACCTGGGTATCATCAAGAACACTTGGCAAAGGGCCGGAAGGTCAGGGTTCAGAACCAAGAGACCAGAAAGAGGATCCAGGAAATAGGGCCCATTTCATAGATTTGTATAACTCACCGTGGCTTCATTGCAGACACCACATTTGACTACATGCTGATGCATCTTGCCTTCCACGTTGATGAGAGACTGGCAGACTCGGCAGGTGATCATAGGGGCACTCCCACTGTCCGGGCTGGTCAAGGGTGAGTAGGGGGGTGGATCCTCCCCAGGCAACACAGCTGGATGCCCCTCGGGGAACGGGGGAAATGCTGGGGAGAAAGCAAATCAAAAGAAGGGCTGGGGTCACTTGCAGAAACCCCCCACTGATGCTCCACAGTGGTAGGGAAGTCCTTCTGATCTTCAACTCTCTGACCAAGCTCGGAAGGCTTCTCATAATGGCGCTTGTATCAGGTTGCTCAGAAACCCCTTTCGTCCCCATGCTGTAGTCGCAATTTCGGAGGGAAGGAAGCCTCGCCCAGTCACAGGTGCAGCAGACCCGCACCTGGCGACTGGGCCCCGCCTCCGCCCTCGGTCCCGCCCCCTCCCCGGCTTTCAGAGTTCCCTGGGGAGCACCTCGGACCCGCCCCGGCTTACCCTGGGGCGGGGCATGTTTACCGGCTCCGTACGGTGGTGCGGAGGGGGTCAGGCCTCCCCCGGGCCCAGCCCCACTCCCGCCTGGCCCCACTAAACCGTTGCCGCCCGCGCCACCGTCGATAGGCTCGGACAGCAGCGGGGAACGCTCTCCATCTGCCGCCATGGCTGCCACCGCCGCCTCCCGCTAGGGTCGGCGATCCGGCTCCCTTCGCCTCTGCCGCCGCCGTAGCCACTGCTACTGCTGCCGCTGCCGCTGCCGCTGCCGCCGCCGCCGCCGCCGCCGCTACCGGGTCCCCAGGGCGCCTGCGCGCCGCGCACCCAGCTCACTCCGCAACCAGTAGCCTGCCCCGCCCCGTTCCGTCCCGCAGCACGTGATAGGCTATCCCCGCCCCGGTCGTGTTATTATTCGCGTAGACAAACCAATCCCTGGTCCTGTGAAGGCAGCCCTCCTTTTCTATTGGGGAGTGACGCACAAACGTCAACTGTCACATGACCTGCCAGATGCTGCTGGGCTTGCAAAACCTGCACGTGACTAGAGGTTCTGCAAGCTATTGGGAGCGACGACCATCGCGCTACCTCCAGACCAGGAGGTGGGGCTAGTCTGCTGTTGCTCCGCTGGTCACGTGTTTCTGGAAGCTACCCGCCTCTGTTGCTCTGCTTCTCATTGGTTCAAAGACACCATTAAATACTTTTTTCCGACTTTCGGTTATAGCTGGTTTTCTATTGGCTGGTGACTTTCCTTCCCTCATCCTGTGATCCTAGCGGAGCAACTGCATTGGTCCGAACTTAGCGCCAGAACATGAAGAGAGTGGCTTATGCATTTTAAAGGAGGCAGGGCGGGGGCAGTAAGGGAGGGCGGAAGCTTGGGATGTTCTAAGCGGAGAGACGAGGGACGGTAGGGAACAGAAGACAAAGTTAGCCATTCTACTCAAAGAAGTACCTTTAAAAAGTCAGAGCCATGTTGTACCAGGAGGAATGGATTTAAAAGTTAAGATTATCGCTCCAGCCTTTATCGCTGGAGTCACTTTCTGGACCGGACACAAGACTGGGTTCTCCTGGAAGCTGCCCTTACAGATCCCGCTCTTACCCCATTGCGATCAAGTTGTTAAATTATCTTTTCATGAGTGTCTCCACTACTAGAAGATTTCATCGTTTTACTTAAAAAAAAAAATGTCAATAAGAGATGGGGTCTTGCTTAGGCTGGACTCAAACTCCTGGGTTTGATCTCCTGCCTTACTTCCCCAGTAGCTGGGACTACAGGCACAAGCTACCATGCCTTTACTCAATTTTATGACCACCAGCCCTTAACATATGCACAAGTGTCTGTTGACTGAATTAATCAAATCCAAGGTTATTTCCATCCGCTTATTTGACAGATAGGACAGCCTTTAAACCTGTCTCAACTTTGCCCCCAGGAAGGGGGCAGTGCCCCCTCCCCTACCTGCAGTCTTGCGTGGTCTTTATGGGCGCCTGAAACATGCGTGAGTTTTCCCAAGTCTTAGCCCAAATTGGGACTGCTTTAAATGTGGAAAGCAACAAAGAATTGATAAAAACAATAAACTCTGAGGAGGTCCCTATCAGTTTTTGCTAGCAGACTCTCCACTGAGAAAGTTCCCCAAATATTTAATAATAAAGGAACTGCTGATGTCCCAGCATTTGGCTGCTACAGGGGCTCGAGACTTCACCTAGGTCCTGATTTTTTAGACAGGGTTTTCTCAGGCCAACTTCTACTTAGAAGCTAATGTCCTTCCGCCAGTTAGATAAGAGCCCCTAACAGGCACTTAACTAAGA